TTCTGTGAACTTAAAACATCCCCTCTCCATAAATTGAAATCAATCGGCAGTGGATTTCTAGGGTGGAAACAAATTCCTATTCCAAATTTCACAGGATGGGATGTATCTCGTCTGGGGACCACCTTTCAAAGGAAGCAGCCATTTCTAATTAGGGGGACCAAGAGTCATAAATAATCACAGTCAGTTCACTTTAGAGTGTTGCCACACATGTTCAGCAAAACACCACGCACCCTGAACCATTATTGTCCTATGTCAACAAATCTGAAATTAACCCTGCAAATCTCCTTTGAAAACCACCGGTCCTTTGCAAATGCTCTTTCATCTGTCTGGACTCCTCACTCTTTAGACAGCTCATTCTGAGTTCTCAGACATCAACTCAAAAACCCACTGTCTCACTGGCAGGAATCTCTTCAACAAGACTCTATAAAAGGACTCTCCCACTCCCTGGAATTCTCTCTCTCTGTACCGGATCCATTTCTTTCATAGCACTTACTACAATCTGGGCTTCAGGGGAGGGAGAATTATTTACTTGTTTCATATCCATTTCTCCCACAAGACCTAGTAACCATGAAACCTGCGCTATCTGTAAAATTCCACATATGTGAGCTAATAAGGCCCTGCAGTGTTTAAACAAGTTTCAGCTGGATTTTCTGATATTATGGCTGATTTTATAGCTAAAATCTTCCTAACAAACATTATCTCCTCTCTATATAGTATTACATTGTGGTCTTCCCTGATATGATCTGTATAAATTAAAAATCTTCTAAGGCCCTGTCCTAGGCACTTTATTTCATCTAATCTTCCCCATAATTTGGAAAGTCCAGGATTATTTAATACTGTTTTGTAGACGAAGCAATTGCGTTCCCTCCAAATGTAACTAATACCGTTCACTTTTTGTGGATTCTGCATGCCTGCGTGCCTTCCTCTGGGGCCCGCCAGCTTCCTGACTCTCCAATACTGAAGGAACTGCTATTCAAGTGTACTGCAAGGGTGGGCACATAATCAGAACATCTCTCCACCTGGACTCTGCGATTGGTTCAAGCAGAGGAGACACATGACCTCCATTAAACCAATCACAGTTCTTCCTCCATATCATAGCACTGAGACACTAAGAACCACCTACTTCCTCTAGACTCCTACACTAAAGGACCTCATGCACTCACTACCACTGGAAGCTACCTTCTAATCTCACTGCTGCCACTGGAAGCCACCTTCCTGCCATGCAGTGACAGCATGCCCGAGAATGACGCTCAGAGAGAGGGTAAAAAGGACATCAGTGGCCTCACTGGGTCCAGCTGTACCTGAAATCCTCCACTCCATTATATGAAGCATTTCTCCTATGGCCACAGACATTGGCACGTGGTTTCAGACACTTGGCACTGAATAAAGGGCTCTTGAACTCCACTTTTTCATTCTCTCCGGTTCCTCCTGAAAGGGATCTCCTCCTTCCATCCGCTTCCACCTGTCAGTGGATAGCATGGCAAGGAGTCTGCCCCAGGACCCTGACACATCCCACTGGGGTACAGCTTCCAGGTCACTCCAGCTCCCTAGGCTAGAGAAGGAGGCAGAGGAGCAGGCTGCCATGCATAGAGGAACCGAGCAGAGAGCACATGTTCCTCCAGGGTGCCACTTCTCTGTATCCCTGTGCCAGCTGCACCACCAGCTGTGTCTCCACTTCTGAGAATTTCTAATAAATCCCCCGTGCACTTCAGCCACCGCGGGTGGGTTTTTGTGACTTCTACCCTTTCCGTCACTTGCTTAACAAAGAGAAAAACAACCAAATAAAGAAGCAAGACCCTGAGTCGGTTCGGTTCATTGTCATTTATTTAACTTAAAATAAAAACAGAAACAAAAAAATAATCAAAAAAACAGAACACAAATTAGAAATCAGTTTCCAATGAAAACACAAACATTTTGGGTGGCTATCCAGCCTTCTTTTTTTCCCCTTCTTGTGAGCTGTTCAGCGCTCAAACCAATCAAATGAGTGAAAACCAATTTTGACTGGAGCCATAAAGCATGTTGCACCAATTAAATTACACCAATATATTATTATAATACCTTTGAAATGCCTTTCAGACCAATAAATTAAAAAAGACAGATTCAAATAAAAAAGTCAACTTTTTATTACCAAAAAAATAGAAATTAAATAAAAGTCACAACATGGATTTTTTTTAATGTGCAGTCAAGTTTCTCTCTCTCTCGCTCACGCTCTCTCACTCTCTCTCTCACTTTTTTTTTCCTCTAGGAATGATACCATGCCAGTAAATCCCTACAGAATATTTCCAGTTTGGCAACAAGCAGTCAGTCAATCATTCACATTTGTACTCAAGACAGCAGGCGTGGGCAACACTCACCTGAATTTCACCCTGAAAAGTGCTCCCCTCACCTGAAGAAGCAGCACCTTAGAACAGGGCTGGGGATTCAGAGAGTCCAAAGCATTTTCATTTCACCTGGGCTCTTGAAGCACTTCCTGAAAACTGATCATGCTGTGAAATTTACCTGTAAAAAGAAGTATGATTCTACTCCTTTGGCGAATGTGTAAACTAAGACACCAAAAGGCCCACAGAGGCAGAGGCGAGCTGACAGGGAATCTCCTATTTGGTCCCCCAGCTCACACACACACACACACAAAGTGTCTCTCGCTCTTGTGATTTCCTGGAAATGAACCAAGCGTGACTTCCTGGGCTGGGGGTTGGCCGGCAGCGACGAAAGGACTGTGGCAGAAAGCAGCGAGTTGCTTTTCTCTCTATCCCAAGGATTTCTCTGAGTGGACACAGTCAAAAGTCTTGAATGAGCGGATGTGAGCAGAAGTTTTCAGACCAAGCAGGACCGGGAGACACAGGCATTCTCACAAAGGAAACATGTCGTCCCCCTACTATGGCCCACCCTCCAGCCACCTGCTGTTTACAAACACACCAGGACTCACTCAGAATCTCCGCCTCTGAAGGGGGGGACTTTCTTTGTCATAATCCGCCATCTGGATTTATGGATGACAGAATGTGCATGTGTTTGGGTGGGGGAGGAGGCTGGAGGAAGTAGAATTGATTTTACTCAATAGCGTCCTTTTTTTTTTAACTTACAGATTAGATGGATAGAAAATATTAAACAGATGCCATCATTTGGCAGAAGGAAAAGACACATCACCAGGAGGTAGATGTTTTCCCTAAGTGTACTCACAGCTACCAAGGAGGCCAACTGCCAGGCTGAGTGGTTGGCAGGGTGGCCAGATAGGTTATCCAGGAAGGGATGCATAAAATGAGAGAAGGAAGAGAGAACCAAGAGGTAGCAGAACGTCCTTCTTGGACCCCTACACCCCCAAACACAGTTTACTAGCTATAGATTTTTTTCCCTTTGAACCTATATTGAAGTTGAGAAAGGAAGTGGTGCCAGATAGAAGGAAACTTTCTGTAGTACACTGTTCAGCAACCCTGAATGATTTCTCATCTCCCTATGAACTACTGTCTGTTAGTTCCCCCCCCTCCAAAAAAAAACCTCATAACTAAGTCCTTATACTTCTAAGTTCACCATCCTGAAATAAGGGTTTGTCTATAGACCCAGGGGAGTAGAAACTGGTCATGCCCAACTCCCATATTAATCCCAAATTCAGTATCTAAATATGTCCCAGTGTGAGAGTGATGTCTTTTCTCCTGTAATGAGGGTGCTTAGAAGATAGAGACTCAGTTTTGTTAATTTTGAAGGTAAGAGTCTTCCCATACTTCTTGGCCACCTACTGAACTTCTAAGGGGAAAAATCGCTCTCTCTCTCTCGTGTTTCCTCCCAACCCATTCTTTCAACACCAGTCATAATATGTAATGAAACTTCCTTTTCCCCCAAATTCAAGACACTCAAAGACATCAAATCCCTATATCTGGGGAAAAGGCACCTTCTGCCTGACTTTCCTTTCCTCGTTCAAATCTTCCACCTACATACTAACTCCCTAGAAGCAAACTCACCTACCTGTGAGGATTCTACCCTTGAAAAACTGGGAAGCCTCCTTCTATAGACAACAGGGCAAATGGTTGAACCAGTTACTCCTTCAGAGACTAGGGACTGATTACTGCATCCAATTCAAAGCATTAATGCAGGTGATAAGCCAAGAGGCAGCATTCCAGTTAATGTTGAGACTTAAAAGAAAGTGACAAACTGCCCCCTTGTTGCTGTGGATAGACTTCTGTCCCTCTCTGTAAATATCAGAGTTCTGTTAGATACCCCATAGTTTTGATCTCTGCCATACCATCTTTTTTCCTGTCCACCCATGGGAGGGTACTGAAGATCAACATAGGCACGAGGAAAGAAAATGGCAATAGAGCCAAAAGACCCCCAAGTGGGCTGAATTTTAGCCCTTACCAATGCCTTCCTGACTCCCATGGCTGAGGCAGGTTAAGGGTGGCAACTTCCGGGCCCTTTCCGCTCCCTGCAGATGTGACTATTCAATCCCATCCCTCCTTCCCAAGCCCTGTGCTCCCCAAAGCAGCACACGCAGCAACCACTCCCCATGGCCCACTGATCAGGATCAAGCTGCTGGTCGACCTCAGTTGGCCAGCCACAAACAGTCAGACCAAGTTTGTTCTATGACGACGCGAGGGGCTCACTCTTTGCACAAGGTCCACACAGGACCCCCATCGCTCTTGACCCCCTTGTAGAAGCACTTGGATAATGTCAAGAGAATACGCCCTTCTCCCTTCTGCATCCTTCACCACACCAACTCCTACCACCATCTATAGGCAGCTGGTCCTCTGGGAGGTGTGGAAAGCCCATGCCAATTAAGACCCCCCCCAATTCTGAGTGACAGCCGACGAGACTGGCAGAGAGCCCACTCCTCCCTTGGAGGGATCAGCTCCAGACTGCAAACTTGGTGGAGCCAGATGGCAAAAATCCTTTTTTTTTTTTTCAGTCTCTGGTGCTGGCCAGCAATGAGGCAACCAACTCGTTCGCTCTGGTCACCACTCCCCCTTCCTCCGAGGTCCCCCCCCACCCCCACCCACCCCAGTGCCCAGGGAGGAGCTAGTTGAGCTTGCTGCAGATCTCCAGGGCTTTCTTATAGACCTGAGTCACATCATCCATGTCCGTCAGGAGGGAGAAGCTGCTGTCTGCCAGCCGGTTCCGGTACCGCTTCAGGTACTGGGGTCGGGGCCGGTTCTGAAGCCCCTCAAAGTCCTGGATCTGGAGGAAGTTTTCAGCCGAGACGCAGCTGCGAATGCGCTGGCGGACAGGGCGGTTCTCCTGCATATCCAGCAGGTCAAGGGAGTCGCTGGACAGGACACTGTCGTCACTGATGACGCTGGAAGGCCGGCTGTAGCTGCGAGACAGGCCCTCGGTGGGGACGCCAGGCTCCAGCAAGGACCCCAGGGTGGGCACATCAGGACTGGCGAGGGCTGGGTCCCTGGTGCCTGCCGAGTACTTGCTGCTGTGTTTCAAGATGCCCTTCCGGCGGCAAGAAAGACTGTGAGGTGTGAGCCTGGCTGGGTCTGGGGGGCTGGGGGACGGGAGGCTGCCCCCCCGGTCCTCGTGACTGTCCAAGAGTTCTGAAGACTCACTGCGCTCCGGGGAGGAGTAATAACCCGATTCTCTCTGCTGTGTCTTTTTCAAGATGCCTTTCTTGGGCATGGTGGCCGACTGTTTGGGGCTGAGTTTCCCTGGCACCTCTGCCTCGGGGGAGCTGGGCAGGGGCCCCCCTGTCCGGCACGAGTCTTGCTCCATGGTGAAAGTGGAGGGCAGGGCCGGGCTGAGCGCCCCGTCGATGAAGCCGGCACTGTGGGAGCGGTGCTCACTGCTGCTCCGCGTCTTCAGGATCCCTTTGGGCCGTTTGGAGCTCAGCTTGGACGGGCTTTCGGGCACTGCATCCTGGCCCGACTGGGCAAAGTCATTCTCCTTCTTGGACTTCTTCAGTGACCGCTGCCTTTCCAGCCCAGCCTCGGAGGCCCCGGGTTTGGCAAGGCCCTTCATTTTGGCCTCCGACTCCGCCTGCAGCCCCGTGGAGCGGTGGTGCCAGTCTATGAAACGAGCCAGGAGCGGGGACTCGGAGTTATGCAAGGCATCGCAATCACACACGCTGCTCTTGTAGCCCCAGTTCACCCACCAGTGGTTGGCGATGTCCTCGATGGTCGCCCGGCGGTCGGGGTTGACCATCAGCATCCACCGGATGAGGCCTCGAGCGTCTGCAGGATAAGAAGGCAAAGAGAGATGCATCACAGGGAGCTGGGGCCCTCAGCCTGGGGCACTAGGAGACACATACACTTTGTCCCCCCACCCAGAGGCTGGGTGCAGCAGTCACACTGGGCATGGGGTAGGAGGGCTCAGGGGGTGGAGTCAGGAAACCAAAGTCTTCCAGAATGTAATCAGAAATACCATCCAGAGCTTGCCACAAGAGTTTGGAGGGAGGGAGTAAAGGACACAGGAAAAAGGAGATACCTGATAATCTTTCAGTATCTTTACTGCAAACTATAAGGCCCAAAAGGAGAGAGAGAGAGAGAGAGAGAGAGAGAGAGAGAGAGAAGTACCTGCCATAGTGGCAGGTGGTGGGATGGGAGGAGGGGGAGGGGAGAGGAGAGGGGGGCGGGAGGAAAACTGGAACCACTGGTGGTAGGAAATATGCCCTAGTGAAGGGACAAGTGTTGGAACATGATATGATTTAAATCCAATCATGAACAACTCTGTAAATGTGTGTATCACTGTGATTTAATTAAAATAAATAAAAGGGGAAAAATTAAAAAGAAAATTTTTTAAAAAGAGAGATGAAATTTGCATATAAGTGGATGGACATGGAGAGTATCATGATAAGTGAAATTAGTCAGAAAGAGAGGAACAGATTTTGGTACATCTACACAGTGGAGTACTATGTAAGCTGTTAGAAAAGATAAAGTCATGAAATTTACATACAAGTGGTACTACATGGAAAGTATCATGCTAAGTGAAATGCGTCAGAAAGAGAGGGATAGACATAAAAAGATTGCATTCATCTGGGGGACATAAAGTAACAAAATAGGAGATTAATACCCAAGAATACCCGAGATCAGTACCAGGACGATTACTCCATGGCTTAGAGGCCAGCCAGGCATTCTAGGGGAAAGGGCAGCTCAGATAGAGAAGGGAGCACCAAATAAAGGGTGTTTGGCGGATCCTCCCAGGATGGGAGATGCATGCTGAAAGTAGACTATGGACTGAACATGATTGCCACTCAATGCCTCTTTTGCAGGCCACAACACCCAAAAGGAGAGAGAGAACAAAAAGGAATGCCCTGCCACAGAAGCAGGGTGGGATGGGGGGGATAGGAGTGGGAGGGATATTATCCATGGTGGTGGAAAATGGGCACTGGTGGAGGGATGGGTATTTGATCATTGTATAATCGAAACCCAAGCACAAAAATTCGTAAGCCTGCAACTGTACCTCATGGTGTTCTACTAATAAAAATTTTAAAAAAAAAGAAAGAGAGGGACAGATATAGAATGATAGAGATAAGGGCCAGGAGGATCATGCCAGGGTTTGGAAGTCAGCCCTGAGTGCTGGGGGAAAAGGCAGCTGGGATGGAGAAGGAACCACTAAGTAATTGATGGTTGGAGGGATTGCCCGGGATGGGAGATGTGTGCTGAAAGCAGACCAAGGACCAAACATGGTGATCTCTTAGTATCTGTATTACAAACCATAATGCCCAAAATCAGAGAGAGAGTAAGAAAGATTGTACCTTTCTTACTCACCCATTTTGTGGGATGGGGTGAGAGTGGTGGATGGGACACTGGGAACATTGGTGGTGGAAAATGTACTCGAGCATTGTCTGACTGAAATATAATCATGCAAGTTTGTAATTTTATCTCACGGTGATCCAATAAATTTTCTTAAGAAAAGAAAGAAAAGAAAAGAAGAGAAAAGAAAAGAAATATCACCCAGGGCCATGGATTCGGCTCCAGTGATAGAGCATAAGCCTGATATGTGCAAGGCCACGCCACACACAGCACTGTATAGTACAGTCAGGCACGGCGCCTAATTAAAAAATAAAAATCAAAACCTCCATTAAGATTCAACCACAGAACTCCACATACAGCACATGCTAACAGGACTTGGCCAGAACCAGACTTTTCCCATCCCAAAGAAGTGGGAGGACATCGTGGACTTCAGAGCTTTTCATCAACCCTTGGAAAGTGGGAGGCCAGGTAGCTGACAGGGATTCCAGACCCAACGCCAGCAGGACTCCACCTGTACCGTGGATATTGTGGTTTTTACCGGAACGGAAGACAGGTGTAGATTACCCTGCTTCCTTCAGTTCTCCCAAGTCTGGTTTGGAGAAACCGTGCTCATGGCTGTATCGGTGTTGGACAGAAAAATGGAAATCAGGGCTGAGATAGTGAGAAAAGACTCCTCCAGGGAGAGTGAAGGATGGAGAAAGAGAGAGCGAGGCTCTCTGTATCGGTGTTGGACAGAAAAATGGAAATCAGGGCTGAGATAGTGAGAAAAGACTCTTCCAGGGAGAGGGAAGGATGGAGAAAGAGAGAGCGAGGCTCTCTGTATCGGTGTTGGACAGAAAAATGGAAATCAGGGCTGAGATAGTGAGAAAAGACTCCTCCAGGGAGAGGGAAGGATGGAGAAAGAGAGAGCGAGGCTCACGCCTGGACGCTACCCTGGGTCCCAGCAGGTCCAGAGATGCACCCAGTGAGTGGGCTACCCCTCCCCACCACACCCCTGCTCCCTCTCCCTCCTCAGCCACCGCTTCTGCACGTCATCAGAGCCCATCCATAGCTGCTGTCCGTTTACAGCCCTCTGAGAAATTCCATTTACAAATTTCCATTGCCAGAGAATTCCATGAAGGCTCCCCAGGGAAGGCGAGGCAGCCACAGGAACCAAAGGATTCTCACTCCGCTAATAAAGGGGCTTTCAGACCAAAAGGTGCTCTACCCTGGGGACTGAGTTATATCCTGAGGAGGTACCACCTCCCCTCCACCACTTATGGAGCAAAGGAGAAGCTGGCCAGGGAGCCTGGGGGAAGCTGTCCCTTCGTAAAGCAGCAGGACAGTGGCTCATTCCAGTCAGTGAGTAAATCCCAGCTGTGTGCCAGGCACCGTGCTAAGACTACCACAGAGATCACGTGGGCCACTGCTCATCTCTCATCGATTATCTATCCTTCCATCCATCCTCTATCCATCTAAAGCTTCATCTATCCCCTACTTCTAACTCTAATCTATCTACCCCTCATCTACCCATCCATCACCTATCCAACTCTCTATCCATAATTCAACATCTATCAACCAATCTATCATCTATCTATCTACAAGCTGCACATCATCAATCCATCCATCCATCATCGGCTATCCATCCATCATTCATCTCTCCAGCTATTGTCGATCATTCTTTGTCTATCCATTCATCATCTATCTACCCTCCCACCCATCCACCCTGTATCCATTTATCATTTACCCATCATGCCTCATCTACCCATGTATCAATTGTCAATCCATTTATCCAGCCATCATCTATCCATCTCCCTGGAATCTAGTCCTGCATGCCCCTAGGAACAAAGCTTCAGTATTCCAAAACACACTGACTGGTTCGTAGCAACTTAGCCGAGCACAGAACATAACTATCTAGAGTAATGAGAGACCATGATGGTGCACGTGCATACACATATCCACACACCCTGTATGTATATCTGAAGAGTCTGTGCTAATCACTTTTCACAGGTGGCCACCTGGACACATCCTATCCCTATTCGCATGATATTCTCCCATCAAGAGGTGGAGCCATGGTCTCAACTGCAACGACCAACATGGTGGAAGGCAATCCGAGTTAATCCATGAAGAAGGCCTGGCAGCCTTACTTCCTCCATATTCACACCCTGAAATACCTGTATAAAATATCTAGGTTCCCTTCTGGAGAGAAAAGACCCAGGAAAGAGTCTCCCAGACAGAGAATCCACCCAGAAGTACTTCAAGATGTCCCCCATTCAGCTCGGCCACCTGGGTGCAATGACAGTAGAAGCTAGCTGGCAAAGGAAACCTAGAGCTCTGGTTACATGGATGTTGCTTAAGCCACTGAGTCTGTGAGAGTAGGGATGGAAAGAGCAGCAGGTAATGAGTCAGAGCCTAGGTACAATAAGATAGAGAGGGGGAGGAGGGAACGGGGTGGACAGTAGAGAATAAAGGACAGTTGTCACTCATCTGGCTCTTGCAGACCCGTGCAGATGGCTTACAGGTCTACACAGAGTGACAGAAAATCCAAGCAGGGTGTAAGCTCACACAAGCAAGCCAATGCAGGACTCCCTTGTCTGGCCTCCAAGCAGAAAACCAGTTCTAAAAATTGCATTTTTATATTTTATTTTATATTATAGGTGTCTCCCTATACCCCACCCCACCCCCCAGATGCATTATTTATTTTCCTAACAAGATGTGGAGAAAAGAAAGGAGAGAGGAAACGGCCACTTACAGATTCGAACACTAGGGCTGAAAATATGAGCTCAGGCAGGGAAGCGGTGCCCGGGCCAGCAGCCTCTGCCCCTGCCCCCACCCAGGTAGGCACGTACCTGATGGCTGCGTGGGCTCCCGGTACTCGCCGCTGCTGATCTGCCGAATGAGGTTTTTGTGATCAAAACCGTCGAAGGGCATTGTTCCATAAACCAGAGTGTAAAGCAACACACCCAGGGCCCAGCTGTCCACCTGGAGCAGAGACACGAGACATGTGGGAACAGGGAAAGAGAGTCCAAGACACTTTCCAAACCATCAGCATCATGTCCAGCCTTTGAACAGCCATCCCCAGGACGTCAAGAATTACATTTAGCACCCAAAAGTCAGAGGCCAGAGAAGCCTTGTACCCATTAGTACAAGCTGTTGGGACCTGCTTTAAAGACTGACCATGCCCAAAGTGCCCACTAGTAGGGTGTTCTTCAACAGATAGATGATCCAAAACTTGGGCTTCACTATAATTGAGTTTAAAAGATCAGGACTGGATTAATCTCAGCCCCATTTGACAGATGAGAATATGGAGGCAAAAGGAAGTCAGTTGGTTCCTCCTCTCATCATTACAGAAGCAAGGTCTTAACTTCTAATCCAGAAATCAATTCTTTCTGGCACTTTCTTCAAACTGGCCAGGAGCTGCACGCCCAGATGCTTACTAGGGCTGGGAAGACATCAAGCCAAAGCAAAGTAAGAGAGATCTAGGTTTGCCCCAGGGAACCCCTAGAAAATGTCCGTTGCTAGTGGCCACTGGGTCCAACACTTTGAGGTCCTTCAGTCTCTCAAGGAAAGTCAGAAATGAGACTTTGCTACGAATTTTCCCAATCCATAAATATTTGGTCAAAAAAAATTTTTTTTTAGAAAGACGAATAGCACAGACTGGCTGGCCAGATCACAGGCAGCCAGCTGGTAACCTCTAAAACAGATCATCAAAGATCAAAGCACATTCATAATTAATTATCTATGATAAATGGAGAGCATCAGGTTCCTGCAACTTTGTAAACCGAAGCCCAAGCTCCTCCCTTGCGCTCTTATTTTAGAAAGACTTTCTCTTCATTACAATTGGGAGAGGTTCTCAGCCTCCTCTCATCAGCCTCCAGCCCCACCCCCCAAACACTCTGAAACGAATAAATATTTGGAAAGCAACATTTCAACCCACTAGCAGCTGCTATTTAAAGACACTGACTGAGCGGCTGGATCAGTCTATAAAGAGAGGCATCTTAGGGGAAGAGACGAATCACTCACAAGGCACCTACTCTCCAAAAAACATTTCCACAGACACAGCAGCTCTTCCAGAGCCCTCGAAAGCTCTTTGACCAGGAGAGAGGGGCATTTCTCATGCATTAAGAAGATGCCATTAAAATGCATTTCCATGGTCCAGAATGCACGCGGTCAAAAATACATGCTAAAGAATATTCACCCACTGAGTTAGGGTGCTTTGAGTTTGTTTGGTTGTTTTGTTTGTTGATTCTGTTTTTCCTCTAATGGGAAGTAGATGAAAACAATCTGTGTAAATCAAGGAAGTGATTAAAAAATGATGGTGTATTCATACCATAAAACATGGTGCTGTCATTCAAAGCCATGTGCTTAATAATGAATTCAGAAAATGTCACAATATAATGTTAAATTAGTAAATGACAAGCTAAACACATGTGTACACACATACTTATGTATGTAAAATGACCTCAATTATTTTTCTAAGTATAGAAAGCTACACTGGAAAAAAAATCCAAAAGAAAAATCACTGATATAGATTTCTTGGTTGTCGCTTCAAGGGAGAGTGTAGGTCATTTAATTTTCTCTTTGAGATTTCACTGAAATTTTCCAATTCTCCTTCAGCTGTGTTCTGGCTTTAATAACCGCAGAAGGGAAAGTTGTTTGCATCCGCTGAGTCTGGGGTTAATAACCAGTTCCAGTCTCGAATTCCCTCCCTTCCCACTTATTCTCCCCCATGTACCCTAAGCAACTTGCTCACCTCAGGACCGTGGTAAGGTCTGCCATTGACAATCTCAGGCGACGCATAGAGCGGGCTCCCACAGAACGTCTGCAAGAACTTGTCCTTCTGGTACAGGTTGGAGAGGCCAAAGTCAGCTATCTGCAGAGAGAAGGCAGGCAGAAGGAGGTCTGTTAGGGCGGAGGCAGCATCTGCACAACTTCCACACAAACCATACAGCACAGAAACACCTGAGAGAACCCCATAAAGTATACCACTGGGTGGCCCTTTGCTCTCCAACCCTGAGTCTTCATAAAAAGGATACAGAGCCGGAAATTCCCAGATGCAGTTCTGGGCTTCCGTCCCGAGCCATGCCTGCTGTGCACGCTCCTTAAGCCCTAAGTGACTAAGAGTACACCCTATGTGGAACTCTATTTCAACTTCACTTGGAAATCGTCAAATCAGTGGCACCTCCTAACATGGACACAGTGGACAGTTTCGACCTGGGTGACCAAACTGATTGAGCATGCCCAGTGGCTCGGGAGAAAATGGGCACTGGGTTCTGAGTCTCTGCACTGCAGCCCAATTCAGCCACTAAGCTGTCTGTGTGACATGGAGCAGGTCATGGAGTTTCGGTTTACCCATCAGAAAATGGGAACCCAGGATCCCTCACCTGATCTAGCCCACAGAGCTATTGTGATAACTGTAAGGGAAAAAATAAGCAATTCCAATGAAACCATGAGTAAAGGTGCATGATTCCATGCACTGGGGCATCAAGACTGATCCCATGCACACGGGCCATCCAACCTGGCTTCTCCTGCACAGCTTTTCAATGCTCCTGCAAACCAATCTCTTCTTTCTCTGTTTTTTTTTCAGTGTATTGTTTATTATACTGCAATTACCTAAAGAAGCTGCTTTAGGGGAGCATCTTCCCTGTGTGCATGTTATATGATCACATACATGCACATCACACCATACACCTGTGCCTATATTACATATATATGTATTTATGTCAATTTGTCCATATAAATATATCTATACAAACCCCTTGCCTACTAGACTGTATCCCTGAAGGCAGGTGGCAGATCCTACATCTTCCCCTTGTATCACCCACTAACTAGTTCTGATCTGCCCTCACCCAAAAACACTTGTTACTAGAATAGACAATATATCTCAACACAAGATAATAGACAATTCAAAAATAACAAACAAATTAGTTACAACTCACTAAACAACCTCCAATTGTCCAGCACTGTTCTAAGTATCTTACATTCTCTAATTCTACCTAAATTCACACAACAAAACAATGCTAATACCAGTGAACTGTACACCTAAAAGGGGCTGAAATGGCAATTATTTTTATTATGAGTATCTTATCACAATTTTTAAAGCTCATTGAATACCTAGGGTAACTGAGATTGAGGAGATGAGACCTTTCATCTCAGGAGAGTTAACTGTCACGCAACCACAGTGCAAATTTCCCTCCTGTCTAAATCAGCTTTGAGGACCTGAATCCTTCCCACACTGAGTTCCACAGAGATTTGTTCAAATAGACTGAGTGATTCACAGGAGAGCCAGCACTCCTCCCAGACCCAGCTGAAACCCTGTTTGGAACATGGCCATCAGAACAAGCCTGTTTGGTCAAAGTCATCCCTGAATGAATAAAATGTCATGGAGCAGGGGTGTGACTCCTGCCCCTCCTTGGAAGACACATTGTTGGGGCTCTCACTGCACTTCACTGCCTCCAAGTCCACTGTTTTTTCACAGCACCCCCCCCACCCTGCCTTACAGACCTGCAGGAAGTTGGTGGGGAGGTCTAAGAAAAAGTGGCCTGTCCTTAAAAGAGGAACACGTCCACAGAGAACACTGGGCTCCATCCTCTCTCACTGCAGCCTAAATCAGAAAACAACTATTGCCCAGGGACCTTCCAAAGCAAGTCCATGCCCTCCCTGCCCACTGTATCTGTGGCCTTTGGAACCTCAGAGCCCCCAGTACGTGCACCCAATACCAAGCCCCTCACAAGCAAAGGTTCACATGTAGCCCAAGTCCTACCACCTCTGCTGGCTTTGTGGCCACTGAGAAGGGTGTTTATGTTCTGACCCACTCCCATCCTCACAGACTGATGTTTATCAGCCTCCCCCCGTAAAACTGTCATTGCCGCTGACAGAAGATGAATAGAAACTGAGATTAGTCCATGTTCTTGGCACTTTCACAGAAAAGCAATATTAATCAACACATACACACACAGAGTTCCCAAGACAGGAGCCACTTATGCTTGGGCTTCAACACGAAGAGGTAATGCCCAATGAGGGGCGGGCCACTGGCTCTGAGAACTCTCAGAAGCCGTTTTGGCCACTGCAAACCAGAAGCAGGGGTGTTCTCCACCCCACAGTGTCACTGGGACTACAAGGTACTTCGTAGATGGAACAGGCACAGATTTGGAGCCCAATAACTATTCAAAGTTGCAGAGTAATTTTATTCATTTCTTGAAACTCAAACCAGGGTTTAAGGCAACACATCAAGGATATATTCCAATAGCAGGGCTGGGGGCTGGGGACACTCATGTCTAAATCGTGTAGGAACAGATGGCTGACTCCATCAGTTCCAATCCACCCAGGCATCCCCTGGGTGACTAGGGGGTACTGAGCAGAGAGGCAGTGGGACTCTTTCCTTGAGACTCTCTCCCTCATGCCCTCACTTCACCTAATGCATGTGGCAGGATCGTCAGGAGGTAAATGACCTAAAACATAATTGATGAGTCAGGACAAATAAAGAGCTACTGCAACAACAACAAAAATACATAAATAAATAATAACAAAGAAAAAGCGCAACTAAAAAATGATGGTTCCCATCTCAAAAGAACTGAGCTCAGGGCCATCTGCCTGTAGAATGTCTGGTTCAATCCTCCGAGCACCACCAGGAATGACTCCTGAGCACTGAGCTGCAAGTATCCCCCCCAAGCATTGACCAATGTGGCCAAAAATTTTAAAATAAAAGTCATGACTACTTCGCCACAGGGATTAACCTTGAAGATGTCAGGCTAAGAGAAACCAGCCAGATCCAAAAGGACACAGTTCTTTGGGAATTCCCTTGTAAGGACACAGAGAAAAGAAAGATTCACAGATAGAGTGTAGGGCAGTGGTTGCTGGAGGCGGGACAGGCTGAGGATTCAAGAGGTAAATTTTAAATGAGGCAGAGTTCCAGCTGAAGAAAAAGCAGAAGTTCTGTAGCTGGGTGGTGTTGACAGTTGCAAACTATGTGACTGCTTCAGGCCACAGAACCACACACCTTCAGACGGCGACTTGAACCTGACCTTATTTTACTATCAAAGACTCCGCTTGACACATCATAGCAATCAGTGAGCACTGACCCAAAGGGCTGATGATTAAACCTGGGCCAGGAAGCCAGTGACAATGACAGATGCTTATTGGGTCTAAAGAAGCGTGGAGGACTGAAGAGATCAGACGTCAGGAGTCAAGAGGACCTGGGGCTAACCTTGTACTTGGCACCACTCGGTAACTGGCGGCACCTGCCCTGTCGCCCAAATTCTCCCACTGTGACCTCACTCTTGTGGAGAACTCAGAACGGTTGGCCCGTTCTTCCTCAGCTGAGCCTCTGTGATGAGGCTGCTGGCGAGGGTGACTTCATAATTTGCGAAGCCGGGCCCCTATCCAGCAAGGCTAGCACTGAAAGCAGGAAGAGCCAACAGCCAGCAAAGGCAGAGAAATGATGGTCTATGTCTGAAACGAAGGTGTGCAGCCTGAAAGAGCAGGACATGCGAAAGAGGGAGGGCCCAGGGGCCTGAATTCAAAGGCGGTCTCGCCTCAGCCAGCAGCACTCCTCAGGCACATGAGCTCACCCCTCCAACTCCACTAGCTCCCCATCAGGAAGCCACATGTGGCTGCGATTCTTGGGTCCCACCCTGGGTCTTGTGAATAGGAAGGACTCCATAGGGCTCACTCCACAGCAGCCACTCTGAACCTGGATTCTTCCTCTCTAAAGGGGCATGATAATAGTGATGGAACCAATCTCGAAGGGTTGGTACCAAATCCAGTGGGCTGAGAGCCCCCAAAGGGCTGACACCTTGCTGTCCCCTACCAGGTCTTCAAACTCCTGGGAACAAAGACCTCCTCCTCTCTGGGTATGATTCATAGCTGGAAAATGAGGCTGCACATGCAGTTCCGTGGACGGGAATCAGGTGAAAGGCCACCACAAAAAATTAAAATAACAATACCAACTGTAGCACTGCCACAGGCCAGCTAGTGTTCTGTAAGCAGGATGAACATTCTACACTCTCCCCTCAACCCCTGGGGAAAGATGTCCTCGTCCTCTTTCTTTTATAGAAAGGAAACTGAGACACAGGGTGGCCTGAGACCAGGGTGAAGAGCATTCTCTATTTAAGCTCTGCAGAAGGAGGGCTCATTGCTTCAGGTTGCAATGGAGGAAATGAGCTTTCGCGTAACTCTTCAGCACTCAAAGACAGGGGCACGCTCCAACCCCCTTTCCGGCCCAGGGTTAATGGCTGTGGTGTCACCCATGACGGCCACACACCTGAGCTGCCAGGAAGAGACGGCCAGATGAAAGCCTCGGCAGAAGGGAGGGACCACTTTCCTCTTCACGGGACATCACCTGGGGGTGCTCTCAGGGGAGGGGCCCATCCCTGATGCAGTCCTGGCCACCGGCAGCCCTTTGGACAGTTGTATGAGCTACTGCAGGGAAGTGTGGTCCACCAAAGCCAGGAGGCCAACACATGCCCAGTTGGCACTCTTGGGACTCTGGAGCAAATGAGGAGAGGGAGAAGGTCGGAGTACTCAAGTGCCTGGACTTTGGAATCAAACAGCCTGGGGCTGGTGACCAGCCCACCACTGACCAGTTGCAGGAGCCACCTCCCTTTCTAAAATGATTCATACCCCCTTCCTCATCCCAGTGAGAATATTCCAGGACTCCCCAATAACACTGTGTGTGTAAAGGCCTGGCCTGGCTCTGGCTTCTAACAAGTTCAAGAAAGGTTACCTTTCTAGCCCCTAGCTTCCAACTTGTTCAGATCATTACTCTATGTCTTCTACTGAACTCCTGCACATCCTTCAAAACCCAGCTCAAACACTCCTTCCTTAGCAAAGGCTTTTTCAGTCTATCCACCTGACGACTCTGGTGGGTCTTCCTGTTATTACAATAAGCCCTATGAGGGACAGCACCTCCGGACTGGGCAAGGATCAGAGCAGGCTTCCTGCAGGAAAACGGACTCAAGTTGAGACCCATATAGGAGGAGGTAGGCTAATAGCAAGGGGACGTGTGTTCCAGGCACAGAGAACTGTTTGAGCAAAAAGCCAGGAACCAGAGAAAGCTCGATGGAGTGTAATCTGGTGCAAAACAGGAGTCTTCTGGGACTCCCTGACCTCCAAAAGCCCCTGCCATTCTCCAGCCTTCCCCTGCATGGACTGCCTTCAGCAGCCGGTGGTGACACATTCATCTGCTCATTGCTCATCATCGCCCCAGCTGGAACTGTAAGTCCCTTACTGTCCTGTATCTCTCCGTACCCTTCTCATGGCTCCTTAGTCCTGCTGCTTAAACAACAGCAAGATTCTTAAGTTCTGAGTGAACAGAGACCTGAGGTCATCAGGTCCACTCTTAAATCCCAGCAGCCGGCACAGGCTCAGGTACACATTCAGAGCAACTATCTGTGCTCGAGTAAACACCTCCCATGGACGAGAGGCACCTGCTGGATGCTCGCAGGTGCCAGAATGAATGGGAGAACGCAAGCAAGCATGGAGAGAAAGACCCCGAGATGAAAAAAGACACACTCGCCAATGGTTCAATGAGCAAGTGCATGAATGGAGGAATCACTGCACCAGCACTGAGCTCTCCCGACCTCGCATTCACCGCATCAAAGCCCTGAGGCTCATATCCTGAGCTGCCATGCGGGGGCTGCTTAAGCCCCAGAGGTTGCGATCTCACAGGAGCCTGGCCATTCAAAGCTGCTTTTCTTATCCGCAGCAGCTCTGCGGCCATTGTCAAGGGGGCCAACAGGCCATTTCCCTTCTGCCCTTCTCCCCAGAGTCTCAGAGGCTCCCTCCCTGCTTCCCAGCCCTTTTGGAGGAGGTGAGCTGACCCTGGTGCCCAACCCTCCTCTCATTGTAAGGCGTTCTGGAAGGAGACGGTGCTGGGAATTGTCGCCATTCCATTCTCCCAGAGAGTGGGATGTGAATCTGGCACGGTTTGTTTTTTTTTTTTTTTTTTTTTTTTTATTGATTGTGAATTAGTGCCATGCCATGCCGGGTGTGGGTGTCTATTTTGGGAGACAGGCTTGCTCAGCAGGCGACAGTGTGCAACCCCAAGGAGCGCATTGCTCTCGTGCTTCCTCCTCCCCGACGAACGCGGAATATTTTGGGACGCCACACCCTCCAGCAGCAGCCAGATCCACAGTTTCCTGCGCCAGATGTGATCTTGGCAAATCACAGGGGAGAGGCACAAGTTACATGGCTCACCCCGAAAAATCACAGCGGTGAGGGACACAGGTCAAGTTTACAGGCCGGCTGGGGAGAAAACCTGCACCCTTGGAATATGGTTCATGGACTGAGGTGGTGGGAGCACCCCAGGGAGCAGACTGAGGAGACCCAGAGGCCCTGGGGTGGTGCCAGACCATGCGCAGTGAGGCTTCCTGGTCCAGACACTGTTGCATCCATGGGCTCCCTACAACATGGAAGCCAGCTTGGGGCCATGTGTCTGCCTATCTTTGTCACAAGGGCCCGTCCTAAATGGATTTTTAGAAAAAATGCTGAGTCGGGCAGAACGGAAGCATGCAGCGCCACCGGAAGACAGAACGGCTCCATCTGCAGCACGTTTGGGAGAGCCTTGAACGTGGGTGTGGGACGAGGGAAAGATAAAGTGCCCAAAAGTCAGACCTGGGAGCTGGCAGCCTGGCCAGTGCCCTTTTATTCCCACTGTGGTCACACCATGGGGAGAAAAAGCCTCATCGTATCACCTATCCTGAGCCCCGGGGTACTCAAGCACTTGGCCCAGACTTCCTGGGCCCTGACCACTGACATGAGGATTGGGAAACAGCCCTTCAAGGTTCGAAGACTCCCGGATTCTCAGAGCCCAGAAGCCTACACTGAAGAGACAGAAGAACAGATGTCAGACAATGAGAAGACTTCATTTCTGTTCGGAATAAGTCTGGGAGTGTGTGTACGTTGCCTTGGAATATACCAGGAGTGGAGATTGTCAGGGCAAAGACAAGGAAGAAAAGAGGAGAGGAAAAAAAAAAAGAGAGAGGGCTCAAATCTTCATTTTCATAAGGTTCTGTGTCTCTGGAATCCTAAAGGCAGCCCAGGCCTGCCACTGGGCTCGTAAGTAAATGCACTGTCCCCCTGGGCTCCTGCCGCATTGTTCCCATGACAGAATTCTGGCCACTTAAAAACCATAATGCCCAAAAGTAGAGAGAGTATATGAGGGAAATTGTCTGCCACAGAGGCAGGGGGAGGGTTGGGCTGGGGATGGGGGGTGGGATACTAGGGACATTGGTGGTGGAAAATGAACTGGTGGAGGGATGGGTGTTTGATCATTGTACGATGAAGCACGAACGCTTTGTAACTATATCTCATGGTGATTTAATAAAAATGAAACTTAAAAAAGAAGAATCCTGGCCATTTTTCTCCTCCATTGCTGGAAGCTCTGTGCCTTATCACTCCTGCAACTATATCACGGGACCAAGAGGTCACCCTGTGCCACAGAACCCAATCCCCTAGCTCACGGTCCAGGTCTTGGAACACCTGCTCTCTGCTGCAGAGTTCTGGAAGCAGGAGTCAGGGTGACTCAGGAGAAGGAGAGAAAGTCACTGGAGGATGCTCTACACGAACCACGAGAATGTACCCCCAGACGAGAAGCACATTCTCCTGACCTCCCAACCCCCGTCCTCCTCAAGTTCCGGACACTGCCTGCCAGCTTCCGAACAGCCCACTTAGCCTTCAGCTACTTCAAGCAGGTGCAGGAGGAATTAGGAGGTAAGTGCTCGGGGCTTTGGAGATGATCTAAAACCCTGCTTTCATAGTGAAAGCTCAGGACTGGGCAGGGCTCAGGGCTGGGATGCAGCAGACACAGACAACCACATCTCAACTGGACAGAAGAGGAAATGGAGGCCCCACCTAGTGACTCTGACCCAGAACACACCAACACCTCAGCAAGAAGCAGCACCTCTTCAAACCTAGCCTGCCCGCGGGGCTGCAGAGGGCTTCACCCAGACCAACGGCACAGGTGGCCACAGCAAAGAAATATGACAAAGAGGTGAAGCATCTTGTTAGTGCCCAGAAGACACCTGCGGGGGCACCCCCATGCCAGGCAGGCTGGCAGCCCCACAGAACGGAATGTTCTAGCTCTCTAGCTCGAGAAGTAATAGCCCTTCTAGAATAACCCAGCCACTGGGCTGGAGAGAAAAGGAGTGTTCCTGAGAACGCGCTTCCTGTTCCTACAGATTGGGGTTCTAACCAAGTGCTGCCTCCTCACTCTGTGGCTCACACTCTCTGTGGGAGAATGAAAAGACCCCCAAAACAGCCTTCCGGGGACTGCTGGGGGCTGCCGGGGACCATCTCCATCTGCAACCTCTAACCTACCGAGAAAGCAAATGGTCTCCCCATCTCCACCAGGAGCGGGAGAAAAAGTCCAGGAAGCAAAAGGTCACTCCCAGGCTTAGCCAGGACCCCCACCACCACCACCACCACCACCACCACCACCACGAGGCTCTGACATCATCAACAGCCAATCCCAGGGCTCCCCGGGTGCCGTTCCACAGCGAAGCCGAGCGTGCGGCGAGCTCCGTTTATTTTGAAACCATCTTTGCTTATTTTGCAGACGTGATCAAAAGGAGGCTGGGAGGGCTCTCCAGGAGGCTCTTGAACCCTGTGCGCTAGGAGAGCTTTCTCCGCTTCTCGGGCTTCAGCGGCAGCCAGCAACAGCTCCCTCCGCAAACAAACCCCTCCAGCAGCCAGGACCGCTTCCCGACTGCGACCCTCATTCCAGTCTGCTTCCCAAGTCCATGGCTGAATTGGGGCATCAGCTGGGGGAGGGAGAGGTCCAGGAGGAATAGTAAAGGTGGGTGGCAGTGACAGGAAGTGACCAGGGAAAGCCTTTTAACCTGAATTCAGGGCCCTGCTGGTCCAGAGCTTCTTGGTTCTCACTTGGGCTCGTAGGTCAGAATCACATGAGTTCAAATTCCAGCATCACCACTGTAAGACCTCAGGAAACAGAGGTGCCTAACCACTCGGTGCCTCAGCTTCCCCTTCTGTGAAATGACGCAAACAACCTACCTTTAAAGGCTCAGATGCAAACAGCCTTACTTTAAGATCCATGGCCTATGAAAAGACCAGTCAAAGGCTTCCATTCAGAACCTCTCACGGTGACAACTACAGACCACGTGCTTCCTAAAGCCGAGGACAGAAGCTTCGTTCTCTTTCCAAATTGCTTTCAAATCCATTCTTCTTCCCTCTCCTTTGCTGTCATGGTTCCAATCACCACCAGTGGGTTAATGGTGCTTGTACACTTTAGTTAAGGTGTTCGCCAGAGACCCCCACACTTTGTGGTGATGCTAGGGACTCCCAAAGCTGCTCCTGAGATCACACTCAATGGAGCACGGGACACAGAGGCGGGAATCAAACTTGAGGCCTCATGCCTGCAAGGTACCACTCTACCCCTGAGCCACATTCCTGAGCCCTTCAAGGGTCTCTTTTTATTCCTATCAAATGATGTGTGACATGGAGTTGAAGCAGCTCAGGCCAGAGGTGGCCCGTACCCGCCTGCCAGAGCATGGAATAGCCCCCCTATTTCTAGGCTTCAGTTGGGAGTTGGGTAGACCCCAGCCAGTCACCATGCCCTGCAGATCAATCCAAGAGTCAGGAGCTTTACCTTAATGTTGCAGTTGTCATCTAGCAGGATGTTTTCCAGCTTCAAGTCCCGGTGGACCACGCCATTCTGGAATGAGAAGACAGGCAGGGAAGTGAATGGGAGCAGCCGGGAGGAGGGAGGAGGAGGAAGGAGGAGGATGAATGGTGGGAAGGGGTTGACAGATGAAGGAAGCGCAAGGGCTGGTGGTCCTGCCTCCATCCTTCAGGGCTGCTCACTGCTCTGCAGCTCCCCACCAGTGACCAGGCAGAGGAGCACATTAGTCACTTGCTGTGTGGTTAAGGGAAAAATGACTGGAATCTGTTCTCCCCCAGAGCCTGTAAAGCAGCAGGGGCACTCTTTGTGGGAATGTCATTCCGCTGAGTGAAAGCAATCTCATCCAGACAGCAGCAGCAGCAGCAGCAAACAAAGTCTGTCTGCCCTGGGATTCCCAGGGAAGCAGCCATTTCTCCGCTTAGGGACTCAGAAGTAGGGTTGGGAGGGAGGGACGGCTCCCAGCCTTCTCCCTGCACTGTCCGCCGCCCCCCTTGCTCTGCTGGCTCCAATCTCTGCGGGCCGCGGGAAAGCAATCCAGATGTGTCCTCAGGAGACCGAGACTGGGACATGTTCTCAGCAGCTGGGAGGGAAGATGCTATGAGCTGCTGGCTGCAGGGCAGCATTCACTGCCGGGTGAAAGGTCAAGGAGGGGGAGGAGCCAACTGAGCTCCAGTTCCCCACCCCGACCCCCGGAAGGCTGGCCCCAAAAGATCACTGCCAAACTGGGTATCTGTTCCATTCAGGCTAGCTCTGCAAGGCTGATGATGCGGGAGCCAGCCCAAGGTGCCAAGTAGCCTGACCCCTCAGACAGGATTCTGGAGAGGAGGGGCCGATGGGCTTCTTGGTTTCATTCATTCATTTCCAACCCCAGTGATCTTGCAAGGGGTGGACAGACTTGGCAAGTAAGCAGAGCTGAAGAACTGGCTCTCTGGGGCTAGGCAGATAAAACGCAGGGAGTCCACTTTTAACGCCCCAGTCAGCAAAAAAAGGCCATTGGCTAATGATGCTCCTTTCAGCAAAGCCACGTGCAGCTGGGAATGGTCTTTCCTACAGAATCTGCATGTTTACGGTTGGTGCTTTTCTATTTTCATTCCCCTCTGACCGTTCCTACTATCTCCAAAAACACGGACTAAAGAGATGAAAACATGAACTTCTATTCCTCCTGTTCTAACCCAAGACTGCAAGAATGTGTTTTGAAAGTCAGAAAGTAACAACCGAGGCTCCCGGAGGAAGGAGACAGAAGACAGCTACCTGACCTCATTTTTTTAAATATTGGGAGCAGCTTGTCATTCTCTTTGGAATCAGTGGAGATGTCAAATAATGTTTGCCTGGGCTCAGGGGTTTCAATCTGAGGGATCATTTTCTAACCACTTCCAGATCCTCTCCCCGTTACCCAGGCTACTTAAACTAGGAGGCTACAGTTTGCAAGCACTTGTGAGAAGTTGACACTCAAACGAGATTCAAACCACTCTTGACCCCCAAAGGGACTGGTAGTTCCAGGCATGACCCTTCTGGGACAAAGTATGAATAGGGATCGAAATTGTGGCTAAAATGATCAACAACAATCAGGGTTGAGACACAGTTTAGAATTACTTGTGTATGTCATTTCCTTCTCCAGAGACCAAGAGCAACTTAACCCGGCTGTCTTCCCAACTCAAGTCATTAGCCACCTCCTTATAAAATGTATTGTATGTGTACAACAAAAGGTTTGTGTTTGCAGATTCAAGGAAAGGTACCATGAAGAGAGAAAGGTTCAGCACCTATAACCCAGGAATTCTACTTCTGGAGTTTCTCTTTAAACAAACAAAAGGAAAGGGGGACTCTCTGAGGAGGTCAATCACCATTTATGATTACCAGAAATTAGAGCCCACTGAAATATCCCACAATTATAAAAATTACAGAGAGTTTTTGTGGAGCCAGAGAAGAGCCTGGGGTAGAACACATACCTTGCCCATGTGAGGTCCTGGGTTCAAGCCCCAGAAACACCCCCCCACCACCACCACCACCACATATGCACACTGGGATGGAGGGCGGAGAGAGAGAGAGAGAGAGAGAGAGAGAGAGAGAGAGAGAGAGAGAGAGATTTTAATAAGACGGGAAAATATCTAAGTTAATGTACTCTGAAAAAAAGATGCAATACTGGGGGTGAAGCAATTCTACAGCACGTGGAGTGCCTGCCTTGCATGCAGCTGATCCAGATTCAATCCCTAGCATCCCATATGGTACCCACTGCACTGCCAGGAGTGATTCCTGAGTACAGAGAGCCAAGAGTAATCCCTGAGCACTGCCAGGTGTGGCTCAAATACCACGGTCACGGTCACGGTCCTCCCGTTATTCATAGATTTGCTCGAGCAGGCCCAGTAACATCTCCATCATGAGACTTGTTAGTGTGTTTGGCATATTGAATACGTCCTGGGTAGCTTGCCAGGCTTTGCCGTGCGGACGAGATACTCTCGGTAGCTTGCCAGGCTCTCTGAGAGGGGCAGAGGAATCAAACCCGGCTGGGCCAAGCCGGCTGCGCGCAAGGCAAACGCCCTACTGCTGTGCTATCGCTCCAGCCCACTCAAACACCAAAACAAAATAATAATAATAATAATAAAAGCAAGTATATATATTTTTGAAAAAGCACATGTTACATGGTATGTTTGCATTGCATCCAATCTCTAGATTGGATACTGGTTCAAAGAAAGTTGCTGGAAAACTAGTCCAGTCCAAACAAGACCATGACGAGCTCTGTCCAAACCTCACTCTCTCTGTTTTGATAAATGTGCTGTGAAAATGGAACCTTCCAGTCAACTGTGCGTGGGCACACGGGAGAGCTCCGTAAGCAACCTGACACTGTCATAACCGAAATTATTCCAAATAAAGAGTTTAAAGACTGGAACACTCATGGCTGGATAAAGAAGCTAGGGCACACAGACACAGTGGAATACTACACGGCCATAAAGAAAGATGAAGCGGTACAATTTGCTGATATGGGGATGGATCTAAAAAGTATGCTGAGTGAAGTGAGTCTAGGGACAGGGACAGTCACAGAATGATTCACTCATAGGTGGGATATAAAGAAACATAGTGGGGGAGTAAGTAACACACAGAGGGGATGGAAGCAAAGAGCAAGACTAGTCCTTCGTAGGAAGTCTGCCACTGGGGGTGTGGGGGTCGGGCATGGGGAGTCGGGAGTAAGAAGTGGGATAGGACAGGGGAGGGATCACCATGGCAATAGAAGGAAGTGGTAATTCTGGACCAGGACTAGGTGCTGAAAGTGGCATGCATAATACTCTATGAGTAACAGTTTATTAAACCACAGTGCCTAAGAGGGAAACCCAGAAAAAAAGAGGGAAAAAAAGAAAAAGAAAATAGTGCCTGCTTCAAGAGTGAAGGGAAGGAACTAGTGAAGGGAAATGGACACTGGTGAATGGACTGGTTAGTCATGAATAACTTTGTGAACTCTGTAAAATAAAATAAAATTTTGTTTTAAAACTCAAAGATATACATATATATGATATATATGATCACTGTCCTCCTATTGTTCATCAATTTGCTCGAGCGGGCCCAGTAATGTCTCCATTGTGAGACTTGTTACTGTGTTTGGCATATCGAATACGTCATGGGTAGCTTGCTAGGGGTGGAGGAATCGAACTTGGATCGGCCATGTTGGCTGCATGCAAGGCAAATGCCTTACCTGCTGTGCTATCGCTCCAGCCTACATATATATATATATAAATATGTGTGTGTGTGTGTGTGTGTGTGTGTGTGTGTGTGTGTATAGCGTATTGGAGGACTGGAAGGGAACAAACCAAGCCGTTCATTATGGCCCATCCCTGTTCTGGGCGATCAGTGGTCACCCTTGTTCCCTAAGCCCCCGGGGCCCGCACCCTGGACCTCGTACCTTGTGGCAGTGATGCACAGCGGACACAATCTGCCGGAAGAAGTGTCTGGTCTCGCGCTCGCTGAGCCTGCGCCGCTCGCTGATGTAATCGTACAGCTCCCCTTTGCTGGCGTACTCCATGATGATCACAATCTTATCTTTGTTCTCGAACACTGCGGGGAACAGATACACAAATACCCTGCTGATCCCACAATCTCTCTCAGGCCGACAGAGCGCAGGGCGAGAGGACAGAGATGTCACCGAGAGGGTTGTGACCAGTTCCCCAGCATCATCAGGCCATCCTGGTCACCAGGACAAGGAGGCGAAGGGGGCAGGGCAGGGCAGGCAGGGAGGAGCCTGACAGGCAGAGAGATGGCAGCAGCAATCCCGTTTTCTATGTTCTTTATGTTCTTTCTCTTTTGTTAATATTGTTGAGGCACTGTGATATTGCTGAATGATAGTGTTGTGCATACATCACCGGACACCATCGGCTCCCCCAACTCCCGATATTATTTCTTAACAACTCCCCATCTCTCCCCAGCCCAATCTCAAACTGTTCCCCTACAAAAAAAATGGGGGGGGGGGCAATAGTCTGGACTAGTCATGACTAGTCTAGGAGAAAGACCCGGTCACACCAATCTAGCCAATCTGATAAGCTACCGTGACCCAAACAGGGGCCGTGATCTTATCTCCTCTTAGCTCAGAAGCTTCCAGACTCCCCATCTCATTCACAGTAAAACCTAAAGGCTCTGTGTCATCCTGAGGACCTTTCTTAGCCTCTGACACATCACTCAGCATCTGCGTTCCTGGGATGCTCCTGCTCTATTTCATTTCCTGGTGTACCTTCTACAGTCAGAATACTATTTGGCATATGGGACTGGCTCAATTAATATTCACTGGGTGAATTCAAAACTTCAACCCTGCTGGGGCTGGAGAGATGGCATGGTGGACAAGGGATAAGGCACTTGTCTTGCATAGAACCAAGTTAGGTTTGATCCCCAGCAACACATATGGTCCCCAAAGTCCTGTCAGGAATGACTGAGAGCCAGGAATAAGCCCTGAGCACCACTGGGTGTGCCCCCCAAACAAAACAAACAACTTCACCCATACATCCTGGACAATCACATTAAAGAGAGACAGAACAGGGGTTCAGGCACTTGCCTTGCATGCAGGGGTTGCTCCCTGACACCATATATGGACCCCCAAGCACAACTAGGAATGATCCCTGAATACAGCCAAGTGGGGACCCCGCATCCAAAACGTGAAAGGATGGAGATGGAGCGATAGCACAGCGGGTAGGGTGTTTGCCTTGTACGCGGCCAACCCGGGTTCGATTCCCAGCATCCCATATGGTCCCCTGAGCACCACCGGGGGTGATTCCTGAGTGTAGAGCCAGAAGTAACCCCTGTACATCGCTGGGTGTGACCCAAAAAGCAAAATAATAATAATAATAATAATAATTTAAAAATTTTTTTTTAAAAATTCAAAACGTGAAAGGAAAGAAAAGAAAAGAAATATCACAGAGCTTACTCTGCGTGCCTGAGACGGCCACAGTGGATACTCAAATTCTGCTCAGCTGAGCGACAGGGCGAGGAGAGGCGCTGAGCAAAGGTCTCAGGGCACGCACCCCCTCCCCCATGACCATCTGTTTCCTACTTCAGCCCTGCACAGACGCTCCCGTGTAATGGATCTGAAACCCATCACTCCCAGGGGATGTGGCAGAAAACCCTTTGTATGCGACTCAGCACCATTCCTGAGAGACTCTCATCCCGTCAGCCTCCGCCACGCACCAGTATGCCCCTTACCCACCAATGTAGGACTGAATCCTCTCTCTCTCTCTCTCTCTCCCTCTCCCACCCACCCCCACCTCTGGCTCAGGGTCCCTGCCATCCACTCCTCATTGCTGGCTGTTAGAAGGCCCCTCCAGTTCCTCTGTGGCTCCTTCAAGCCCAGCCAAAAGTCTGTGGTAACAGGCAGGGCGCAGGCGGAGGACAGGGAGGAGGTGGTGAGAGCAGAGCTGATAAAATGGCTGCTTCCCCGTCTGCTGGCCCCGGCAGAGCCCCTCAGGCTCGACTCCTGCCAGGGTGCACAGTCTGCTGTGAGCTTTGCCCAGCAACAGCCTTTAGGAGCTGGGAAAGCTGATGGGGGTGAGGGTCGCCCTCCAACCCTCCTCCCCCTCCAATGACAGAGAGCTACGCCCCGGAGGGGAGAGAGAAGAGAAAAACTAGAGGGAAAGACATTAAAGAGGGTAAGAAGCAAGGAGCCTCATACTCCAACCCCACCCCCCAAAATGTCTGAGATCCTCAAAGGAGGGTCCCTGTTCCTCTGGGGGACTGCCAGGTGTGAACACCGCTGGGTGCTTACAAAGGATTGCATCCGCTCTGGGACTCTTCCCTTGCAAGAGGTTGATTGAGATTCAGGCCAGCCCCCAATGCACCATATGCAACTTCCTTCCATCAGTCCTGCCGGGCCCCCTTTAAAATATACCCGGGTTTGGGCTGTAGCAATAGCACAGTGGATAGGGGTTTGCCTTAAACGCGGCCGACCAGGGTTCGATTCCCAGCATCCCATATGGTCCCCCAAGCACTGCCAGGAGTGATTCCTGAGTGCAAAGCCAGGAGTAACCCCTGAGCATCACCGGGTGTGACCCAAAAAGCAAAAAATAAATAAAATAAAGTAAAATAAAATACACCCAAGTTCTGGCCATCCCTGCTTCAGAGCCCCAACCTAGCGACTCGCCCCTTTCCCTCTGGTCCTGGTTCTACCTGCCACCTTGGAGGGGCCAAGAAGGCATTTCCAAAGGCACATTCTTTGGAGCACTAGATTGCAAGATAGTTGCGGTGAAGCACAGGAAGACAGTTTATGGGGTGCCATCTTGGGCACCATGGGGGAGCCTGGTGCCTTCTGGCCCAGCCATTCCAACATTGCTCCTGACATCCAGCGCCGTGGACCCAAGTCCAGGACACTGGGCAGGAGAGTCTGCCCACGCCTTGCACAGGGCAGCCCAGAGCAAGAATCATATATATATGATTCTATTCTCTTATTTATCCAAGAGGGGGAAAAATAGGATAATGAGAAAAACACTTAAACTAAGATATGGCTCAATTCATTTTGTAACTCTCTCTAAAAATAGAAATAAGCTTATTTTCTACCTATTAATTAGAGGCCTTGAAAAAAAGAGCCTTAAGCCCTTAAAAAAGAGGAAAGAGAAGAACCTCAAAACTGTGCTGTAAAGTTATTTAGAACTAACGTATCTGGTCACCTTATGGTCACTCAGAGACACCTCCAGCAGCCCACAAGGAAGCAGCATCTGAACATCAAGGCTGCAGTTAGAGGCCCAGAGGGGCTCCGGGCATCTTATGGGAGTGCTCAGGATACAAGGCCCTCTTGCATGCTTCCTGATAATAGCAGGTGTATTAAAAAGAGGGGGGAAAAAATGCAACGCAGGCCATGTGAGGAAAAGCAACATGCAAGAATTAACTCTAGGGGCTGGAGCCATAGCACAGCAGGTAGGACGTTTGCCTTGCACACAGCCAACCTAGGTTCAATTCGCAGCATCCCATATGGTCCCCCAAGCACCGCCAGGAGTAATTCCTGAGTGTATAAACTAGGAGTAACTCCTGTGCATCACCAGGTGTGACCCAAAAAGCAAAAAAAAAAATAATAATAATAATAACTCTAACTTGGGGTCCCAGGAGAATCCTCCGTCTGCTGCTGAGAGAGTCGGGGTCCAGCAAGGTGAACACACCATGCCCAGCCTCTCGACCACTGCATGTGGCCAAGCACCTCCGCCACCGTGGTGTCCCCAGTAGCCCAGAGAAGCGGGTGACACTGTAGGTTCCAGGGTCTAAGACACTCAGCAAGAACCTCTCCTACTCCATATCAGGCGCCTGCTCCTCCTCCCTCCAGCAAAACCAAACCCCAAGACTCCCCCTTTTCAAATGTCTGTAGCCTCTGCAGAGTCACAGAACCTGCAAGCAGAAAGACACTTACACCCATAGTCTTTTCTCCAGCCTAGCTCAGGATGTATCATCTACAGGAGGGAGGTCTCGGGGACAAGACCCCAGGGAACAGGCAGCTACCACACGCAGGCTGCAGCCCCCGGCTCTGGGCCCACCACTGGGGTCACTATCAGCGAGGTGATAGGGACACGCTTGGCCATTCTTCTGGCATAAAGAAAAGGACTGCTTCCCTTGGGCGCATTTACAACTGGTTATTTATAAGCCCAGAAATCTTGTCTGTGTTTATGTTATTAGTCACTAAGCAAAAGCTTATTTTCCACCAGTTGGGAAGGGTTTCCTTTCTGAAAAATGAAAGCCTGTGTCTCTTGGCCAGACGGTTTTACCCAGAAGCCTGGTGGCTCCGGAATGGTCAGGAAAACTATGGCCCTTGCATGCCAAGCCTACCGGGAAGGCCGTGAATAGAAGCTGAGCTCAGCCGGCGTCCGCCCACAGGCGGGAGGCTGAGTCCATGGGGGCAGAGGCTGGTTTTTTAGGGGAGCAACAAACACAGTTAAAAGGCTCCCCGCTAGGTGAGTAGCACTGGGTTGGTGCTGGGTGAAGGAGGAAAGGTGAGCCCGGGAGCAGGTCGAGCAGGAGACAAGATAGAAGCTGGAAAACCAAGAGCAGGGCCCAGCGACGGGCTGGCACCAGAGACCGATAGGGAAGGTGGCAAAGAATGATGCGTGGAGACCTTGGACCCATAAGGAGCACTAGCTGGGAGGAGCCAGACATACGCCAGCCACCACTGCCAAGGACAGTAAGGAGATGGAACCAAGGGCGCTTCCTGGATCTTGGATCCAGGAAATAGTGCAAGACTCACTTGTTCCCAAGAACCTTCCCAGACTATCTCTCCTGCCCCAGAAGCCTTACTTAGAGTAGGCCACAGTTAGCACTTCTTAACACAGCGACTGTACTGTAGCACTGTCCTCCCATTGTTCATCAATTTGCTCGAGCGGGTACCAGTAACGTCTCCATTGTGTTTGTTACTGTGTTTGGCATATCGAATACATCACGGGGAGCTTGCCAGGCTTTGCCGTGCAGGCAAGATACTCTCGGCAGCTTGCCGGGCTCCCTGAGAGGGGCAGAGGAACCGAACTTGGCTCAGCCAGGCCGGCCACGGGCAAGGCAAACGCCCTACCCACTGTGCTATCACTCCAGCCCAGATGTTAATA